TAATTTAGAAATGTATACACCCATATTTTTTAATTTAGTTAAATTTATATGCTGCTTCAGAACATGTTTTTCCCATCCCTTCAAGTTGTTTATACTAAAACAAATCAATTACCTTTGCCATTATCTGAATAAATTTATATTTTGTCTCCATCTTTATATACAGCAGTCCTAAGTTATAAGCTTTTCGGATGGCCATATTTCACTGTTCTGTTTCAACTGCTGCCACATTTCCTAAGTAATTTGTAGGCCATAGCTGAGAAGAGCATCCTTAACTTCTTTTAATGATAGTATTTTTCTTCGTTAGGTTTGTGAGCTGTGAGCTAGTGTAAGATACTAACACACATTTTCCAGTTTTCTCTGTTCAGTCTCAGAATGCTTCACGATTATTCCAAGGTCACTTTGAAAGTCTCTCTGTGATTTGCTTCCATTTATTTTATGCTTGTGTTTACAGTTTTGAACCAAATATGAAATTTAATGTTGCGTTTGTCTACATTAAACTTAATTTGCCCCTTGTCAGCTCATTTACAACAGATATAACATTCAGAAGCCACCCTGTAGAATGTTTTGTCTGCATGAAAATAAAATAACTTTTATTTTTTGTTGAATGTAACTTTCCATATCTTTCAAGCTTATAAAGAAGCTTTTCCAGGAGAAGTTTTTCAGAAAATCTGAAGTAGTCCCTAAGAGATACTAATATATTATTATTTAATAGAATAGGGTCTTCATTAAATCTTGAATTTTTAAAAAATAACTTCCTAATTTAGAGAGTTAATTTCTTCTCCCATATTATGTAAGCATGCTTATTAGAATCGTCTTACTGGAATATAATGGATAAATGAATTAAAAATTTAAAATACATTAAAATCCAAAATTGGATTATGAGACCAAGCATTTCTCCTTCTTTCATCTTTCTCTTATATTTTCCCAAGTACTTAAATTGACTTATGAATTTTCTTCTTAATAGTTAATAACTTTTTACATGCTTTTGAAAAGAGAAATGAATATTTCAAATTTACCTATTAAAGAGCATTAAAATAAAATCTTAAATTTAAATGATAAAAATACTTTTAAGGTAGAACTGTAAACATATGTATTAAGGAATATAATATGTATATATGTTAAACATTATTTTCAGTAACAATTTGTAACTTTTACCTGTGTCTTCAAATAATTAATAATGTTCACACCTGGGAAATTTCTCTTAAAATCTGCTGTTTACCTTTTGAACAAGCTATTCTACTTACTCAGTTTATTTTAAGGAAATATCAGGCAACTAACTGCACAGAGATGCATTTACAGTATTGGCCATTTTTTAAATATTTAAGTATTAATAAAAGTCAAAATAGCTAACCTGAAAATAGTTAAATAAATAATATGCACACAATGTAATACCATGGTGGAAATACACATTTATTCACATGAAAATACTAATATTAAGTTCAAAATAGCATAAAAGGTAAACCTATATTTGTTTGTAGGCAAGTTGTAGGTAGAAAAAAAATAGAGAATGATAGATTTGGATATATAGCCATCACTATATAAATGAAAATTAAATATTTATCAAAAATACAGTCTACTTGGGCTGATAGAACAAAATATCATGAATTGGGTGACTTATAAACAACAGAAATTTATTTCTAATTTTCAGGAAGCTGGCACTGCAGATGGAGTGCCAGAATGGTTGAGTGAGGACCCTTGTGAAATTGTGATTTATAGGAAATATATATATATACACACACACTCATGTATTTGGTCATTCAGATGACCAAAATAGTTTTTTCTCATACATATTTGCTCATCATCCACAATTCCCTGTTCATGGCACCTTTTTGGATTCTCTTAAGTGTTGAGAATGTTAATGGTGTCTTTCTATGTTAACAAAGGTAACTTTTGGAAAGCACTTGAGGATGAAAACTAGTTGCCAGTTTAGTACTTCTAGCCCACCCCTTCGACCTCTGGAGAGGGGGAGAGACTGGATATTGAGTTTAGTTGCTCATGATTTAGTCACTCCTGCCTATGTAAAAATGCCTCCATAGAAACCTAAAAGGAAGGTCTTCAGAGAGCTTACAGATTGCAGAACATGAAGATTTGGGGGACAGTTGCCCACCTGGAGAGAGCCTGGAAATCCCATGCCTTTTTTCTATACCTTTCCCTATGTATCTCTTCCATCTGGTTCTTATCCTTTAGTGTAATTTGTAATAAATTGGTCATCTAGTGGATAAATCTAGTGTAATAAATTCTCTCCTGAATTTCAGTAACCTACCTGTCACTATTATGCTAAATCCATAAATGCCTATGTATTCTTCAGGTCTTAAATGAAACAAACAAACAAACAAAAATAAGTTTAGTATCTTCTCCCTACACACTTCCTCTCACCATTTTCCCCAAATTCAGGTAATGCTGTTACTACTCAGTTTCCTGAGCTCATAACTGACATCCCTTTTCCTTACCACCTCCATTCAGCTGGCAGTCATCAAATCCTGCTGTATCCATCTCAGAAATGCCATTGGAACCATCATTCTTCATTCCTACAAAGTCTCATCATCTCATACCTTATACTTTGGATCCCATACTATCTTTCCAACCTTTGCCTATCACCCGTATCTGTTATCTTTCCCCTCTGTGACATAGAGATTTTATAAGAAAATATTTGAATTCCTCATTCCCTTACCTAAAAATTGACTTTGGTTCCATAGTGCCTTTAATAGAAAATCCAGATTTCAGGAGGTCTGTCCTCATAACTTCATTTTGTTTGCCCAATGTCTCCACCTGCCATGAACCCCTTTTTATGGTTAAACTGAACTCACCTCCTCTCCCCTTCACACTCCAGTGCAGTTACATATGTCAGTTGCTTAACTTGAATTCTCTGACCTAATATGAAAGGTTGGTCATTCTTTGTGCTTACCATGGCATGTACTTCTGAGCCATATGGTAGATTTGTAAGAGAATGCTTAAACTATGCTACCTAAATTGATAAGCCCTACCACATAATAACTCTCATGCCTGCACTCTCTTCCCTGTAAGATCAAGACAATAATACACCTTTTTCAGGGTTGTTGAAATTGGAAAGAGCCCATTCATATGCAAAATTTATAATAGTGTTTAGCACATAGTAAGCAGACATTAGCCATTCACTGCTGCCTCTACTGTGAGGAATCATGATGACAATGATCTAACAATCTCCCCCAGGAAAGGAATTAGTAATAATGGAGTCCATTCAGAAATGGACTACAAAAAGACTGGATCCAGTTTTTAGATTACTATACCTTAGCTGCCTCATGGAATTTTTAGTGTATCTCCTAAGTCCTCTACTAAATAAAAATCTAACTAGCATTTGGCATGTAATTTTCCCCAAACTGGTAGTAACTTCATTATCAGTATCCCATAAGCCCTAACTACCATTCTGGAAGTACATCATTCTGCTGGTTAAATGGATAATAATTAACTATGTCATGGGTATACTATGGACTGTGTGAATCAAGCCCCAGACCTAAATAGGACTCCTAAGTATAGCAGAGGAAAATTTGTTGTCTCTTTCAAAGCATAAGTAAGTAAATATAAACATATATACATTCTGTATACTCTATTATGTATTATAGATATTTTCTGACCCCACAGGGTCAGAAATTAAGTTATTTCTTCTTTCTCAGTGGTGGGCAGTGTCCTAAGAAATATCATTTATAATAAAATAATAGAAGTTAGCAAAGTTTTTGTGGATACTTTAGTTTTTATAAAACTGCTATAGACATAACATCCAAACATAATTGGTTTGGATGTTATGTTTATTTTGATGGTTATGGTCCCTAAAAGTTTAAATTAAAAGTTAAGTAAATTGCATTGTTTCTTAGCGGAGTTTACCATTTTGAATAATTGTAGAGTAAATCATTTTGAATTACATTAGCTTTTATTTATTAGAATATTAATATACCTTTTTATTTAAAGTAGAACATTTGTTTTGGCAATGGTACTTTCTAACTCAAAAGAGAAATTTGTAGCTTAGAAATTTGTTGCATTAATATAGCAAATCAAAGTAATTTTAGTAGGTAGTATTTAATTTTAGGGGGAAAAAGAAGCCATAAAGTAGAAAAACAACTTGGGGAAAACTATAGAAGCCTATCTATTAGACAGCTAATATCTAAATTTGATTTTCAGAATGAAAAATATGTATGTTATTATTTTTTTACATTTTGGGTGTATTTTTTCTGATTCTTATAATTATAATGAAAAATAGTATATGAATGGATTCCCAACCAGCTGTCCCAATTGTACGTGCACATACACATACACATACAGGCACATGTGCGCACACACACACACACTTGAGATGAAAGATACACATAAATATATGATAACCTACGTAGCTGAGAAAGAAATAGAAAATGAATAATAAAAGTGATGACTTGGGTTTTCATAGCACCTGAAATTTAAAACATACTTGCCTATTGTGACAAAGTAGAAAGAAATTTGAGTTTTAATCAAACCTAAATTTTAACGGTTACTTTTCCACATATCTCTGTGAATTTGGACAAATCCCTTAACTGCCCAGAGCTTGGGATTTCTCATCTGTGAAATGGATTAAATAAAGAGTTCCTTTGAGGATCAAAAATAATGTACATGCAAAGCCTTTAGAAATTGTGAAACATTGTAGGGATTTAAGAGATTATAGAAATAGAGAATTCAAAAATTACTCAGATTTCAGTTACTATTTCAGACATGAAATACGTGTGACAGAGCTAGCTGTTCTCAGTTTGTGCATGAAGAAAATGAGAAAAGCAGGTTAAAATTGGACCCTGGACTTCAGAATCCAAACACGGTCTCCTTTTTAAACTGCGTTCTTTCTGAACCAGGGTTATACATCATTCACAAGGGACAGCTGTATAAATTGTAACCAACACTGATTTTAAAGACTTTGAAAAGTATAATTATTGAGTTATCTTAGTAAGAAATACAATTTTTACTATGTGTTGTTTATGTTTTTTTTTTTTTCTTTTTTAATGCAGGTAATGAATTTGGGCATCCCGAATGGTTAGATTTCCCCAGGAAAGGAAATAATGAAAGTTACCATTATGCCAGAAGGCAGTTTAATTTAACTGATGATGACCTTCTTCGCTATAAGTTCCTAAATAACTTTGACAGGGATATGAATAAATTGGAAGAAAGATGTGGTTGGCTTTCTGCTCCACAGGTAAGCTCTTTACTCTAAATGTTATGTTTTAGTCACCAGTGCTGTACATGCTTAGAATGGTAATCTGCTTAGATCTATATGCAGATCATTTAAACAGTGCTTTATTATTCAGTGTGTAGTGCCCTGTAACATACTTCAGGTTGTCAAAACATGTCACTGAAGTCTCTCCAACAGATAACAAAAGCCTTAAACTTAATACCCTGCTTACTTTCCTGGTTAGGTGGTTGTTGTTGTTTAAATTTAGTCATTTTTATTTCAATTGGTTAAAATAAATGATAAAAGCTTGGCATGGAATCCATTTTGGAAATTGCTGTGGAAACATCTTAATTGTTTTGACTATTTTTCTTTATATAAATAATTATGCTGTCATAAAGAAACTACTTGGACAAAAATGTAGATTTCTTTATTTCTTTTTCCCCTTCCTTTACTGGTCTCTAACTTGTCATTTCAGTAGATGCCATTATACCTGCATGCTGGTTTGTATTTTTCATGAGCCTGAATCTCCTCTGGAATTAAAGTCTCAGTTTTCAATAAGTTTTAGAAAATGTAATTAACAGGTGCAAATTTTATAGAGGTTTGTTTTTTTTTTTTCTCCCAGTGCAAAAATTAGCATATAGTGTGTGTTACTTATAATCCATTTACTTTTTACTGGTGCTATTTGAAATTACTGTTGATGTGTTTTTACTTTAGTGTCTGTGATTTTTTTTTTAATGGTTGAACAAAGGTACTTATATATTCAGTAAGGTTGGCTACATGACACAAATGCCCTAATCATATTTATTAGTAATGCTATTTCCAGAAGAGCGAGCAAAATGATGCTTCTTTTCAGTAGGAACAATGTTGAATACCAAAAGGCATACTGTTTACTCTAGAGTCTCCATTCACATTTTTAAATTACCAAGAGTGGTGCTGCTGATATGCATGGAAATAAGTCCTCTGGGAGCTGGGGCTGAAGGAGAGTAGTGTTGAAAAAGCAGAGGCTTCTCCCTGCCTACTGTAAAACATTAAGTATAAAGTAAGAGAGTTTGTAGATATGATTTATTTTCAGACATCGCCTATTATAGGTAACCAAAAATGCATTGTAAAGGAATTTAAGTTGCTGTTGAATCTGACAAAGTTGTGTGATAAAATTTTTAAGATGAAATCACATTCAGACATCTCAATAGTATATGTTATTTTTTGCAAAGTAATTTTAAAAGAATTTATGTGACTTATCTCATTCATCTGGAGACTCAAACAAAAGTCTTAAAAATCACTTATAACTAGCTCTAGTACACACAAACACTGTACATGATGCAGGTACCATGTTATTACTTAAAATAACAATGATTCTATGTGCTCTGTTGGCAAGTGGTTAATCGGATTTTTTTAGTTTTTACACATTTTCTAAGACTATTGTTGGCTTAGTTTGTTATGGAAAAATTCAGTGTGCCTGAAAAATACAATGTATCGTCGGCATTTTCATCTTTTGCTTAATAGCTAGCAAGGCTTTTAATAAAAATGAAACTTTTAGTAAATAACATACTTGCAGCAACATCTGGGTATCATTTAAATGTAATATATGTGTTAATTCTTACAGGCCTATGTAAGTGAAAAGCATGAAGCCAATAAGGTTATCACTTTTGAGAGAGCAGGTCTTCTTTTTATTTTCAACTTTCATCCAAACAAGAGCTACACTGATTATCGAGTTGGAACGGCATTGCCAGGAAAATATCCTTTTTTTATGAGTGAAGTAACTGTCTGCATTCAATTTGTTATTGTGTCATTGAATTAAGAAAGACTAATGTTGATGTTGGTGACAATTTCCTACTCAGAAAAGCAAAAGACTTGAAATAGTTGTTAAATCTTTACTGAATTAACCCTAAACTTTATTCTGACTCTCCAAATTAGGATACTGAACATTTTTAAAAAATAATATTGCAATCCAGTGTTCCACAGCACATGACTGTAGTTTTTCCTTATAAAAATATTTTGTGAATTGCCTGTGATAATCATCTCCTTTCCCCTCCTTTACTAGGTGAGAGAGTTGTACTTACAGGAGCTATAAAGGTAACTTCCTTCCTCTCTACCTTTCCTGTCTCCTAAAATACAGGGCATAACTCACTTTTGTAGAATTTTGTAGAACTGATTTGGCAAGACTCAGGCTGGGAGATGTGAGCAAAAGAAATAACAGGTAGAATAATATTATGTCCTCTGTATATTCACTTACTCGTTTGTTCATTTCAAAGGTACTCATTGAGTAACTGTTTATTGAATATCTGTGTCCAGCTCTGCGCTAGGTGCTGCAAATATAGGAATTTTCCTAGCAGATAAAGTCATTGCCCTCAGGGAGAATTTAAACTGCTGATCAAGACAAATATTACTTGTAAGTTTGACAGTTATTATAAAAGGAAAAGGACAGTGTATTTTAAACGGATTATGAATTCCCAGACCCATGGACAAAGTGGCAGATTCAGGACCTAGCAACAAATGAACATACATGTTTACACGCACAGTAGGAATAATGTGTTTCTCCCCTGAAGCCCTAACAATGATTAGTGTCTACCACCTGAGCCAGACATCTGAAGTCAACATGAAGCCCTGTGTGTTGGAGAGCCTCTGGCTGCAATAAGAGAAAGCCCTATTCAACTGTCTCAAGCAATAAGGGAAATTTATTTTGTCACATAATAAAAGCTCTAGGGTCGGTGACCTCAGCACTGTGACAACATTATCATGTTCCCTGGATTGTTCTTTCTGATTTCTACCTAGGGACATCAGCCATGTCCAAGGGCTGGCACCTGTTGTAGCTCAAGACAGTCATGGCTCCAGATCTCACCTTCAGACACAACAAAAGCCAAACATTTTACTTTCAATTTTTTGTGTCTCTTTTTAAGAATAAAGTCACTTTAGCAAACTTCCTTTCATATTCTGCTGACCAGAATTCGGTTACATAGCCCAAAAATATTTTAGAAGGAGAATCATGTCACCATGATTGGCTTAATCAGGAATTCCCACTGAGTACCCAGGAAGTAGATGCTGGTGAAGTGCTTACTTAGATAGAACGTTTCTCTGGCAATAAAGAGGAAAGGGCCAGTGTATTCTGGTAAGTAGCCTGAGTCCCAGCCTGTATGCTTGGTGACACTGAGGGTGGTGAGATGTGGTTTCCTACCTTCTCCCCACCTATCAGATTGCCGTCCTACAGGATGACAAAGTATTTAAGATGGGAGCTTGTAGCTATAACTGATAGTGCAAATGTGCCTCAGTTAACACAGAAAATAACAAAAAGCAAGGTAATAGGATTGCGTGCACTAAAAATGAACTATTCTGTTACAGTAAGCATATGTTCTCAACATCTTTATGAAGAAATGCAAATCCTAGTCTAGATGCATAGCAGTTTATAAATGACCCTTTTAGCTCCATTTAGTCCCAAGACTAAATGTTTCTATACCTGACCATGTAATATAATCAAAATGTAACTTTGATTAGAATCAAACCAAAACACATTTATAGATCACTTAGGTTCTATTGCAATCATTGTTAAACACTTTTCCTTGACACTAAGTGGGCGAGAAGGTGTGTAAAACCAGACTTGGATGTAAGTCATAGTGCAATAAATGGGACAAGGACAGGAATGTTCCATGGGAGAACAGAGGACAAGAAAAAGAAAAATAAATAAATAATTGAGAGAGGTTGATTGATTAAAGGAAATGACCTTTAAGCCTGGACCTTGAGAAGTGGATAAAATTGTAAGAGAAAAAAATTGAGGAAGGCCATTTCAGCCTTTGGAAACCATAGGAAATCCTTAGATAATGGGCAGTACAGTGGATTAATTGGAGAGTGATAACCATAAAAAAGAGTACTAAGAGATAAAGCTGAAAAGTTAGATTGAGGTCACATAATAGAAGATTTCATTGCAATATTAATTAGTTTAGGCTTTTTTTTTTTTAATAGTCTTACAGCAAGTCACTGAAAGTTTTTGAATTAGTGTGTCACTTAGTGAGGATGTATACTTTAGGAAAAGTTCTTATATACTCAGTGTGTAGGAGAGCTTTCATGAGGAGATTGGAAGTACAGATATTAATTATAAGAAATTGCAGTACATATAAAAGATAATTAGGGCATTTACTAACATAATGGCAATAAGATAGAAAGAGAAATATAAAGCCCTTTCTTATGGTGAAAGAACTCAGCAGTTGTTTGGACATAGACTGTAGAAGGTAAAAAGATGGTTTCACTTTGAACAATGGGAAGAATGATAGTGGTATTATTACTAAGGAGAGTAAAGCAAGAAAGAGAAATCAGTTTGGTCTAATGTGTGTTTAATTTGTGATCACTGACATCTCGGAATACATGGAATTTCAATGACAATTTTAGGAGAAAAATCTTGACTTATGCCACATTGATCTTTTATCTGAAATCTATGTAGCCTTAACAGATATCATTAAATGAAAGCATCAGCAATGGCATAGTACATTTTATTAAATAGAACTCACCCAAAAGTTAATTTTATTTATTTGTGCAAAGGTACACTTTAGATGAAAGTCAAGTTTGGCTTTGCTAGACCTTGTCACAAATTATCTCCTGAAATTTAGTGTTTTGTCTAAATGTTTGTAGGCACTTATTTTACAGAAAGTCTATATTTTAATGAGCACTGAATTCCTTGTATTAGTGACCCATTTCAAAAACTATGCTCATTGAAATTTATAATGATAGAAACACCTTGGGAAAATAGACCATATCTTCATAGAAGTAATAGTGAAAGTTGCTCATCTATTGGCTATATTATGGAATATTTCTTTTCATAATGACAATTTTTCTGAGGAGGGGACCAGAAGAGTCATACCTTGAACACACCTTCTAATTAGTTATATTGCCAACCTCAACTTCCTGGTTAAAGTCATAAAATCTTCTGGATTTTGCAAGGTTTTATACTCCAATGACCCAATTCAATGCAGAAATCCCATCTGTAACCTTCTCCACAAGTAGTAGCTAACCAATAGGATACTTTGCATTCCTTGGAATCCTACTGTTTCACATGGTAAACAATTGAAGTTCTTACAAAAAAGTTTAAATATTGCCAAAAATGTAAACGAAGTTGCTCTGTTTTTTGGGACTAATGCCTGTTCTTCCTGCCCGTTCCTCAAATCGGAAAGGCACTTAATGTGCTCCTGACAGTACCATCTCTTCCAAGAGTTCCCTCTTCCAGACTGAATCCTCAGGTTTCATCAATAAATTCTTCTGTTACTTTCCAGACTTCTTACCATTACATCTCCTTTATCAAAACGCACCTGCCATTATTCATGTTCCTTTTACACTGTGTCTCCAGAACTAACAACATAGTATTATAGATACTGTCTGACAAGTATAACATAGAGTACCCCATTACCTCCCTTTATCTTGACATTGCTCTCTTATTATTATCCTTAGAGTTACATTAACTTTACTGACAGCCATCACATTCTCTGCTCATATTATATCTGCATTAAAATATATCTTTAGTTTTCTGTCTTTGTTTTAGTATTATGTCATATCCCCCCTGTTCTTTATCTAGTTAGTAATTTTCATCAAAAAATTCTAATCTGGGCCTCCCTGGTGGTGCAGCAGTTGAGCACTGGGCTGCGAACCTGCCCGCAGCTTCTGCAACACTGGTTCGATCCCCTGCCACAGGAGAGGGTCCCACATGGCACACAGACCTCTCCTGCTGTGCCTGCTGCTCCCCTCAGCAGTGTACTTCAGTCCTTCTGCCTGTTCTGCTCCCTGCTGTGACTCTGGTGAATTCTCTCACCCTCCCGCACTTCTGACTGTAACCAGTGCTTGTATAAACAAATAAATAAATAAATAAATAAATCTTAAAAAAAAAAAAAACACACAGTGGCAAGATTAGATATAATAATCAAGTCAAGAAATTCATTAGACTTTTAATTCCCAGAAAGCAGAATTTGTTAGAATAACAAAATTAAAGTTTCTAAAGAAGTTATTTCAACTTCTTCTGTCATTTTGAAATATAAACCTTCTATAGGTAACATGTCTGAATTCATGGGTAGTTCCATTTTTTTGAACCTGGTTATACTATATTTCAAATAGCAAGACATCAACTTTTACTCAGATCTGTAGAGAATAGATATTTTTGACTGTCTTCTGAAGAATGGTTGTAAGGGGAGTTATTTTGCGGGTAATGCCAGGAAAGGGAGAAGAAACACTTTTAGGGTGCTTTTAACCATCACATCAAAAGAGAATGATACCTTTGGAAAACTAAGTGGTAGGTCTGATTTGTATCACTAAGGTTTTGAATGATCTTCTTCAGGATAACTCTAAAGTATATGATATTGTTTCTGCAAAAAGAATCTGCAGCCATGTTCTAGAAAATAAATATAAAGAAAGAGCAGCAGCAAAAAAGTTTTGCCTATATACCGTTTCATATTTGTCTTGCTGCTAATCTTCAGTGTAATGATCACCAACATTCTTTACTATACTAGATAGAAAGTGGGTGATGTAAAATTGAGACGTCATCGTACTGGGTAAGTAGGCAGGTTACACATTTCATACATTGGAAGATAAAATATATTTTCCTGAAGTAGTATTTTTGCTTATGATTTCACATTGTTTACAAAGAAAGAAACCTGTTACCTTTTATATTATCAGAATCATTAGTGAATTTCTTTAAAACAGTATCACTTAAAACAATATCAGATCAGCATTGAATAAAAGGAAAATTACTAAGTCCCGGAGGATAAACTGTTGTCTCTAATCCATTTCTAATAATACAAGTGATGATGCCACATTTTGAGCGATGTTGGAGAAAGTGGGCATCAGGGGACTCTTTTGAGGGCTTTCTGTTTGCTAGCTTTTTTTATTAAGTATTTGATTTAATATTCTTGGCCACACTGTAAGGTAGATTATGTTAGCCTCATGTGACTAAGTAAACTGAAGTAACTACCCAATTTCTTTCCAGCACATAACTGATAAAGGCCGAGGAGAGCACTGAGGCCCATGTTATTTCTACTGTGTTGTAGATGGAGAAATAGAAACTTAGTTGAGTTACAGCCTAGAGAAGACATTTATTTAGGACTTTAGGACTGTGGCTCAGAAGACACAGACCCAAGAAGCACTTCAGCTGTTTGCTCTAGATGCCTGGGATGGGAAGTACTTATGGACAAAAAATTGGACTAGTTCAAACTTTGATTTTATGCAAATGAGGTTTTTAGTCAGTGCAGTTTCAACTGAAGGGAAATTGGTCAGATCTCTATCCTGGCCAGTCTTTGGCATGTCCTTCAGTTTTCCTTTTCTTCTCAGTGGTGACTCCTTCTGGGCCCGCCCTTGAGCCTGAGGTTTCTGGGGCCTGACCCTCAATAATCTCCTAACTCTATGGTTTTTACCCAGACTTGGGATGGTTCCATTTCTGTTTTTCTTTTTTACATTCTTTAGCAATATCATCATGCCTCCTCATTGTTCATGGACACATGCACGCGTGTGTGTGTGTGTGTGTGTGTGTGTGTGTGTGTGTGTGAGAGAGAGAGAGAGAGAGATAGTGGTAGCAACAGTGGTATTACTAATGATGCCACATTTTTGTAATGTACAAAATGATTTGGATATAATTCTTGGAAAATAGTATGAGAAAAGTATACACAAATTCATGGCTGAGGAAAGATTCTTTCTTATCACCTAACTTTCCTTGGTTCCGCTCCATCACTGTCCACAGCATCTTCCCTGGAATTTCTTCTTCATGACCTCTGTCACCTTCCTCAACAAGTAAAAGAATATTTAAAATGTAAAAAGTGCATGCTCAGGTTAATTATTTTGATTTTTCTGTATGTTATGTACCATTGTTGAACATTAAACTGTGATACCTCACATCAGTTTAAGTTTACTAGATAATATTCAAAGAAAATTACAACCTCACAAATTATTTATAGGGTATGAATCTTGATATGTATGGATTCCTATTGTTCTTGAGAACATCAACAACACTAGAATTGAATGTTTTTAAATTCTTTGTCAGCAGGCTGTTGAGTTTGGGTGGAAATAATAGTGTAATAGCAACCCCCCTTCCAAATGGCACTTCAAACTGTTACAATATTGAAATGTTTACAGGAGTGATCATAAAACAAGGCTTGTGAAGAAAATGAGAATTCAGGCCAAAAAAATATTTAAAGCTTAAGGGAACAGATGAGTAAATAGTTGGATTTGACCCGAGATCTTTGAAATATTTTCATTAAACTGCTGCAACATTAATTTTAAAACTGCACTTTTTAAAATGTAAATTTAGACTGTGGCATTTGCAACCTGTACACAGAGTTTCTAATGAGCAAATAAGGTCACTTGGATGATTCACTGAAGTGTGATCGCTGAAGGCAGAGATGTTGCTGTGAGTTGCTTAGTTTACAGAAGCCTTTGAATGGTAGTTATGTAACACTCGGTTAGAATCTGTGCTTTATACAACAAACGACTTAATTTAGGATTAACTAAATGCACATTCTATCAAGATTTTATACATAAAGGTTAATTTCTGCACCAAAAAATAAGGTAAAGCATTTCAATTTCCTAGATCTCCAGGTTTAAATGTTTTGGCAAAATTTAAAGAAAAATAGGTAATTCTCTTTTTAAAGATCTACACAGTTACTGAAGAGACACAAGCATGTTTCCTTTTCTTGTATGTATATATGTGAGTGTTAGTGTACTTTTATGGTGATGTTCTTTATGTGGAGAGGTAGTCTTACAAATTATTTTAATTAATGATTTTATATCTAATATGGATTCTCCTTTTGTTTCCATAGCTTCAAAATGGATGTATACTCATTGCCTTGGTTAGCCTTTTTAGTTACAAGATGACAGTAGTACTTTCAAACAGTATTTAGAGGTCCTTTACATCATTTTTCATTGTTAAGCCCTGTCCAACAATCCCTATGATTTAATGATAATGACAGATGCATACCCCCATCTCCACTGGTAATAAAGAGCCTATGATTTAGCATCATTTTTCTACAGAGGAATTTGAGATGAATCACAAAGTAAGAAAAATACTTTGCATGATTAAAATATCGCAACTGCTATAACACTTTTAGATTGGCTTAATATATATTCATAAGACTATAGGCAGTAATGAATAATGAACAAGCCCTCACTACACACAAATGTTTTTTGATTTTTTTTAATAGCTGAGTGCTATTCAGTATCTTATTGCTCTGGGATATTCAACAGTATTACTGTGTTGTTGTTTTTTGTTTTTATTTTTTTGTTTATAGCTCAGTTGTGCAGTGATTCTCTCTTCTGATGCAAGAAATTCATCTAACAATAATTCAGTTAGGATTTCTGTTCTCTGTTTCTTGTCCTTTTGAAGGAAAAAGAAATCAGAAATATTATTATCACCCTTAAGAACACTACATACTTATCTAGTAGTTGTACCACAAACAGAAGGGAAAACATTTGTGTCTGACATCATCATTTTTACCAGTTAACCTGAAGTCTTTGAAATATTTCCATTAAACTTCTGCAACTTTACTTTTAAAACTGTACTTTAAAAAATGTAAATTCAGACTTTGACATTTGCAACCTGTACACAGAGTAATTAATTAATTACTTCGTAAAAGTAGCTAGTGTTTTGTGGGAATTGACTCCCAAGACTGAAAGTCTTACCCATGTGAGCAATTAGGTACTTGCAACATAAAGTTAAAAAGATTTATTTTATTTATACATGCATGCAAGAGCTGTGTTGCAGGCCAGAGATGTGGGGCTAAGAGGATTCAACAGAGACAGAGTTGGGAGCAGAACAGGCGGGTCTACTGAAATACACTGCTGTGGGAGCAGCAGGCAAGACAGGAGAGGTATGCTGTGCCCTATGTGGATTAACTCCCTGGCCAAGGATTGAACTTGTGCTTCAGTGGCTGCTGATAGCTTCATAGTGCCGAGACTTAACCCTTTGTTCCACCAGGTAGGCCCAATAAATTTAATTTTTTTTTATAAATAACTGGGTGATGAAAAGATAGATGAATGGATGAATGGTGGGTGGATGGATGGATAGATGGATGGATGGATGGCTTGTTAAATGGGTAGACTAATAAATGGGTAGTAAGATGGAGGATAATGGTGAAAAAACTGCTGAATTTATTTAAAGTCATATAAATTTATTTAAAGTTGTATAATCAGAACACAAAGATTACTATTGCTTTTTTCTTAAAGTAGATTTATCAATTGTAGAAAGATTGACAAAATACTATGATCAAAATATATCATCAGGGGCCTCCCTGTTGGCACAGGTGGTTGTGCGAAGCACTGCAAAGCTATCCACAGCCTCTACAGCTGGGTTTGATCCCAGCCAGCCACTGAGATACCCACATGGCACAGCAGACTGCTCCTGTCTTGCCCACTGCTCCCCTCAGCAATGTATTTCAGTCAGTGTGCCTGTTCTGCTCCCTACTCTGTCTCTGATGAATCCTCTCACCTTCCCTGACATCTGGCCTGTGCCCTGGTTCTTGTATGCATGAATAAATAAATCTCTAAAAAAGAAAATCATCATTTTGTAGAATTCAAAATTTGTATATTAGAACCTATTGTCAGAAATTTGCTAAATAATTTTATAAAAGATTTCCCTCCTGTTAAATACTTACATGCCTTGCCTTCTGAGCACTTTATACTATAGTCTCACTTAGTAATCTTTTCCTGTGTTTATTTACATTGACTTCCTTTAGCCTCATATCATGCTAGTGATACAGGCCTGGCAAGTGTTATTCTCTTTAATCTAAATATAAACATCAGAAAGAATTATAACCTCCACAAGATTATATTCTTAGCAATTGAATAAAACTGTGATTTAAATCC